TGCAAAGGAAGTTCCGCTGGACCTTGAGATCACCTAGAAGACGGATTCCAACTCTGCAAAGGAGGTTCCTGTCTGGAAGATGGACTCCAACTCTGAATCGAGGGTTTAGCGGATTGTACTTCTTATCTAAGTTTTGCTCATGATTCGTATTTGGACATGCAACTAGCACAATCAGAGTTTATTTTAGGGCCAAGAAAACTTCAATTCAAGATAGCTTTAGGACTAAGAAAGCATCGTAATGTTATTAAACGCCCCATCCGGTTACTATTTAAATGAGGCCGAAAAAGTAAACTTCAGTACCGGTTAATTTTAAATAAAACTAATGAAAATGGCTTGAAAACTTTGAGTTTTAAAGAAAAGATAAAATAAAGGGTAAAGTGAATAGTATCTGGATTGATTTTTTAGTGTAAAAATGTGATTTTTCCTTTAAGTGAACAGTACCGGGAACTTTTCGTTAAAATTCCCTTAATTTTAATCAATTCCCAATCCGGAAAGGAAAAAGGATTCCTAGACAAATAAGGAAATCTAGTCCGCCACGTCCTACACGATTTGGGTTTTCCTAATTTAACCCTAATTCAACTCACCATGAATGCCTGACCCAAAAAAAAAAAAAAACTCAGAATCTCTATATATTCCTCCACCCTACACGATTTTAATCAATTCCCAATCCGGAAAGGAAAAGGATTTCTAGACAAATAAGGAAATCTGGTCCGCCACGTCCTACACGATTTGGGTTTTCCTAATTTAACCCTATTTCAACTCACCATGAATGCCTGACCCAAAAAATAAAATAAAAAACTCACTCAGAATCTCTATATATTCCTCCACCCTCGTAAGTTCACACCTCAAATTGTCAAGTTCTCTTACATGCCTCGACAACATGAAACTCATCGAGAAATTGAGGCTTAGGCTTTTCAACGGGGCTTTCGACTCCACAAAATGCGACAAAACAACAGTGTTGGCGGTGGATAGGATACGCAAGTTAAGGAAGAGGAAAGAGGAGGACATTGCGAAGATGAGGAACAAAATTTATGCTCTCTTGCAGTGTGGTCAAGACCCAATTAATAAAACTTGCACTGCTCGTATTTTGATCGAAGATCTGATAAGAGAAGAAAACATTTTGGAGGCGTACGTGTTGATCAAGGGTTTTTGTAACTTAGTTAGGGGTAGGCTCTCAGTCATTCAAGTGCAGAGGGAATGCCCTGAAAATTTAAAACAAGCGATTAGTAGTTTAATTTTTGCAGCTAAAAAATGCTTCCACGACATTCCAGAATTATTGACACTTGAGAAAATTTTTAAGAAGAAGTATGGAAGTGATTTTGTGCTTGCGGCTACTCAAACCAACTGTGTTGCTCCCGTGATGGTTGAGAAGCTCTCAAATAGAAACTCTACAGACGAAGAAATAGAGAAGATTATTCAGCAAATAACCAAGCCATGCAATATAAATGGAGAACAAGCAGCGTGGAACTGTCATCCCACATCACCATACTTATATGATGGAGTTGCGTACAATGCTTTTATCAATTATAAGTGAAGAAATTGTAGTATATCCAATTTGGAGTAGTTTACTCTTTGAAAAAGAAATTTGCGGCTTACTATAATGTAGCTAGGAATCATGTATGACAGGAGTGCTTATTACCATATATTTTTTTTAGAGTAATGTTATTTTTATCATCTAAATATATCACAATTTCATATCAACTTATATAGAAATTGAAGTGGATTAACACATCAATTTAAAAAAGATCTTGTACCAGCAGAGGTCAATAATCACATTAACTAAAAGAATGATCTTTTTCTTTTTTTCTTTTATTTTATTTTTTTCTTTCTAAAAAAGGGGACAATTGGTGGCAAGCCACGGTTATCCACCCCTTTCGAGGGACAGGAAGACTCACAAATCATTTTAGCCTGCCTTTTTTTTTTTTTGTTTTGTTAAAGAAATTGATGAAAGCCTAATGCTCAAGTTTTCTAGGCTCATAGTTGCCTCCTCCTTCCTCTCATCTCTCCATCGTCATTTTGCTTTTCTGATGACTAATGGTACCCCTCCACCTCTGCCGATGACTGATTAAACCTCCACAATCACAAGTGAGAGGCTCAGGGTAAGAAGACAGTTCATCCCAAAGATCTTTGAGTTTGGTGTAGTATGTGAAGATTGACTGCTGTCCCTGGCAACATTAGACAATTTCTTGTTGAATTTGATAAATCCTTGAATTATTGCCTTGTAAGAATCAATCCTCAAGATCCTTTTGTTCGCCCCTAATATTTGCCATGGGCCTCGTGGGCATTTTGGAAATTTACTCGAACAATAAATTGGTGGGTGCGAGCCTGCCACTACTAGATGCCTCTAGTAGACGGGATTTGAATGATTGAGATTGTGCCTGAGTACGACTTCTAACCAAGAGGTTGTGCCATTGAGTGGGAGTGGCTCAAATCAAGGTTCTTTCTTTGCCTTAAAGATAAGGACTTCACTTATGTGGAGAAATGTAACAATATGTAAATGGCAGGTTTGCCAGAAGTGTAAATGACAAAGGAAAGTAAACGACTGGTATTGTAGATTGCTTGTAAATTAAATGACTGGAAATGAGTTGTACAGAAATGTAATTATTTAAAGTACAAAACATTATAAGTACAAAGGGATGCCAAATACAAGGTTCAAGCTTGTTCCCAAGGGATCGGGCAAGTTGCTTTAGTCTTGTGGCAATTTCTAGTGGTTTGGGGAATGACTTTGAAGGTTGTAAATAAAAATACAAAGGAGATCAATACTACCGAGTGAGCAACATAGCTAAAAACAAGGAAAGTAAAGGGTGCTTGGCTAAAAGTAAATGTTTACAAGGAAATTGAGGAGCTGATTTAAGTAGAGTTGCTTGATTGATTGGTTGAGTGTCCATAATCCTTTTGCCTCTGCTTCTTTATATAGAGAACTAAGAGAGACCCACTTGCTGAGAACATTGAACATGTGGAGAGAACTCCGCTGCCAGCTTGCATATGAAATAATATTAAAAAAGGCCAACTCACATTTCCACCACATGTCTATTAAAATAATATTAAAAAAGGCCAACTCACATTTCCACCACATGTCTATTAATTATACTTGCAATAGATTAATATTTAAAAGAAGCAAGTTGGCTTCTTTCCTCCACATGTCCATCTCCTAAGTCTACCAACATTCTTACTCATAATAAAGCCATAGCTTCAAACCATGTGGAGAAACATTCTCACATGCAACTTTTTGTATATTTGCACACTAGTCCCCCAAATTGTGCATATTTTAGGTGCAAACACCTTCCACACGGCAGTTGCAATTTGCAGTAGAGTTTACTGCCAACAATAGTACTGTGCATGGATCGCAAGGTCCACAAGAGTACCATGTCGTTGCATCTCTGCCAAATGGGAAATTTTGCATCAGACATGGATCCTCTCCGGATTCATTGGTCTTAATCCACTAAGTCACATCATCTAAATCATTGAAATTTGATCCAACGGCTAAAGTTATTATAACTTTTAGAGTGGACCCCTGTTTGTAGCCGTTGGATTAAATTTCAATGACCCGGATGATTTGACTTGGTGAAATAGGACCAATGAATCCGAAGAGGATCCATGTCCTTTTGCATCGGTGGTTGCAGGAGCTTTAATTGATAGACCCATCAATAGACTCGAGCTTATTCTTTGCACTCTGAGGAATGCGCATAGAATGGCACCATTGTCCGTAGTTTTGTCATTCGAGGAGTTTTGAAACTAGAACAAGATTCGATGAATCCGAGTGATGTAAGGTGAGAGGATCGGATGTGTTTAGCACCGCCTCTATTAGCTGTGTCTGTCGTCAAGGTTGGTTGTGTTTGTAGCGGAAAATGAATGGGTGTCGAGAGTCACCAGGATCGTGCTGATCTGATGCCATATAAATTGATGTGTGAATATGTTTGTACTGGATATTTGTAACTGTACAGAGACAATCCTTTCCTCCAATCACTGCAAGACGGATCATGATTATATGATCCTACAATCACTCCATATCATATCATGATCAGATCGCTCACTAGTTTGCTTCCTTTAACAGACACAACTATTGTATCTTCATGCACAACCTTTATAGTTAACCACTTTCACATCTACATAAAAGGCGAACCTCATTTAGGCATTCAACTTATTTATCAATTTCATTTATAGCATTAACAAGTCCTTAGTATATTTAGACTAAGGGAGTGAAACATTGTGTTTCAGTAAGGCCTTATGATTTGACTGCTACTCATACCAGAAGAGAATGTTTAGAGGGAGAGGGAGAGGGAGAAAGAGAGAGAGATGTTGAAGAAAAGAAGAAACACTGACTTGTATGATATCAGTTGAGAATTACAACGCACCTCACTTTTTCTATATCAACTAGAGAGCACATTAGACTTGATAGCTAACTCTTGCTATAAGAAACTAACTTTTCCTCTAACAACCTGTTATTCATCTTAACTTATCATCCCAGGATTCTGATACATGGCACCTCACAGAATGATGACAATTGTCGCCTAATACCCCTCAATCTCAGCAAAGAATTTCAGCCTGAGATTTTAATCAATATATTCCTTCACCCTACACGATTTTAATCAATTCCCAATCCAGAAAGGAAAAGGATTCCTAGACAAATAAGGAAATCTAGTTCGCCACATCCTACGCGATTTGGGTTTTCCTAATTTAACTCTAGTTCAACTCACCATGAATGCCTAACCCAAAAAAAAAAAAAAAAAAAACTCACTCAGAATCTCTATATATTCCTCCACCCTACACAATTTTAATCAATTCCCATTCCGGAAAGGAAAAGGATTCCTAGACAAATAAGGAAATCTGGTCTGCCACGTCCTACACGAATTGGGTTTTCCTAATTTAATCCTAATTCAACTCACCATGAATGCCTGACCCAAAAAAAAAAAAAAAACTCACTCAGAATCTCTATATATTCCTCCACCCTCGTAAGTTCACACCTCAAATTGTTAAGTTCTCTTACGTGCCTCGACAACATGAAGCTCATCGAGAAATTGAGGCTTATGCTTTTCAACGGGGCTTTTGACTCCACAAAATGCGACAAAACAACAGTGTTTGTGGTGGATAGGATACGCAAGTTAAGGAAGAGGAAAGAGGAGGACACTGCGAAGATGAGGAATAAAATTTGTGCTCTCTTGCAGTGTGGTCAAGACCCAATTAATAAAACTTGCACTGCTCGTATTTTGATCGAAGATTTGATAAGAGAAGAAAACATTTTGGAGGCCTACGTGTTGATCAAGGGTTTTTGTAACTTAGTTAGGGGTAGGCTCTCAGTCATTCAAGTGCAGAGGGAATGCCCTGAAAATTTAAAACAAGCGATTAGTAGTTTAATTTTTGCAGCTAAAAAATGCTTCCACGACATTCCAGAATTATTGACACTTGAGAAAATTTTTAAGAAGAAGTATGGAAGTGATTTTGTGCTTGCGGCTACTCAAACCAACTGTGTTGCTCCTGTTATGGTTGAGAAGCTCTCAAATAGAAACTCTACAGACCAAGAAATAGAGAAGATTATTCAGCAAATAACCAAGCCATGCAATATAAATGGAGAACAAGTAGCGTGGAACTGTCATCCCACATCACCATACTTATATGATGGAGTTGCGTACAATGCTTTTATCAATTATAAATGAAGAAATTGTAGTACATCCAATTTGGAGTAGTTTACTCTTTGAAAAAGAAATTGGCGGTTTACTATAATGTAGCTAGGAATCATGTATGATAGGAGTGCTTATTACCATGTATATATATTTTTTTTAGAGTAATGTTATTTATACCATCTAAATATATCACAATTTCATATCAACTTATACAGAAATTGAAGTGGACTAACACATCAATTTAAAAAAGATCTTGTACCAGCAGAGGTGAATAATCACATTAATTAAAAGAATGATCTTTTATTATTATTATTATTATTATTATTATTATTATTATTATTTTTTAAAAAAGGGGAAAATTGATGGCAAGCTACGGTTATCCACTCCTTTCGGGGGATGGGAAGACTTACAGAGGCATTTCAGCCTTTTTTTTTTTTTTTTTTTTTTTTTTTAAAAAAGAAATTGATGAAAGCCTAATGTTCAAGTTTTCTAGGCTCACAGTTGCCTCCTCCATCCTCTCATCTCTCTATCGTCATTTTTCTTTTCTTACGACTAATGGTACCCCTCCACCTCTGCTGACGACTGATCAAACCTCCATAATCACAAGTGAGAGGCTCAGGGTAAGAAGACAGTTCATCCCAAAGATCTTTGAGTTTGGTGTATGTGAAGATTGACTGCTGTCCCTGGCAACATTAGCCAATTTCTTGTTGAATCTGATAAATCCTTGAATTATTGCCTTGTAAGAATCAATCCTCAAGATCCTTTTGTTCGCCCCTAATATTCGCCATGGGCCTTGCGGGCATTTCGGAAATTTACTCAAACAATAAATTAGTGGGTGCAAGTCTGCCACTACTAGATGCCGCTAGTAAACGGGATTTGAATAATTGAGATTGTGCCTAAGTACGACTTCTAACCAAGAGGTTGTGCCATTGAGTGAGAGTGTCTCAAATCAAGGTTCTTTCTTTGCCTTAAAGATAAGGACTTCACTTATGTTGAGAAATGTAACAATATCTATATTGCAGGTTTGTTGGAAGTGTAAATGACAAAATAAAGTAAATGACTAGTATTGTAGATTGCTTGCAAATTAAATGAATGGAAATTAGTTGTATAAAAATGTAATTATTTAAAGTACAAAACATTATAAGTACAAAGGGATGCCAAATACAAGGTTCGAGCTTGTTCCCAAGGGATCAGGCAAGTTGCTCTAGTCTTGTGGCAATTTCTAGTGGTTTGGGGAATGGCTTTGAAGGTTGTAAATAAAAATACAAAGTAGATCAATACTACCGAGTGAGCAGCAGAGCTAAAAACAAGGAAAGTAAAGGGTGCTTGGCTAAAAGTAAATGTTTACAAGGAAATTGAAGAGCTGATTTAAGTATAGTTGCTTGATTGATTGGTTGAGTGTCCATAATCCTTTTGCCTCTGCTTATTTATATAGAGAACCAAGAGAGACTCACTTGCTGAGAACATTGAACTTGTGGAGAGAACTCCACTGCCAGCTTGCATATGAAATAATATTAAAAGAGGCCAACTCACATTTCCACCACATGTCGATTAATTCTACTTGTAATAGATTAATATTTAAAAGAATCAAGTTGGCTTCTTTCCTCCACATGTCCATCTCCTAAGTCTACCAACATCTTTACTCACAATAAAGCCATGGCTTCAAACCATGTGGAGAAACATTCTCACATGCAACTTTTGATATATTTGCACACTAGTTCCCCAAAATGTCATATTTTGGCTTTTAGACCCAATTAAGTAAAATTGTGCATATTTTAGGTGCAAATACCTTCCACACGGCAGTCGCAATTTGCAGTAGAGTATACTGCCAACAATAGTACCGTGCACTGATTGCAAGGTCCACAAGAGTACCATGTCGTTGCATCTCTACCAAATGGGAAATTTTGCATCAGACATGGATCCTCTCCAGATCCATTGGTCTTAATCCACCAAGTCACATCATCCAAGCCATTGAAATTTGATCCAACGGCTAAAGTTATTATAACTTTTAGAGTAGGCCCCTGTTTGTAGCCATTGGATTAAATTTCAATGACCCGGATGATTTGACTTGGTGAATTAGGACCAATAGATCCGAAGAGGATCCATGTCCTTTTGCATCGGTGGTTGCGGGAGCTTTAATTGGTAGACCCATCAATAGACTCGAGCTTATTCTTTGCACTCTGAGGAATGCGCATAGAATGGCACCATTGTCCGTAGTTTTGTCATTCGAGGAGTTTTGAAACTAGAACAAGATTCGATGAATCCGAGTGATGTAAGGTGAGAGGATCGGATGTGTTTAGCACCGCCTCTGTTAGCTGTGTCTGTACTAAAGGTTGGTTGTGTTTGTAGCGGAAAATGAATGGGTGTCGAGAGTCACCAGGATCGTGCTGATCTGATGCCATATAAATTGATGTGTGAATATGTTTGTACTGGATATTTGTAACTGTACAGAGACAATCCTTTCCTCCAATCACTGCAAGACGGATCATGATTATATTATCCTACAATCACTCCATATCATATCATGATCAAATCGCTCACTAGTTTGCTTCCTTTAACAGACGCAACTATTGTATCTTCATGCACAACCTTTATAGTTAACCACTTTCACATCTACATAAAGGCGAGACACGCCATTTCTTCTTGAATTTCCAAGAATTGGGTATCGCCATTATTGTATTAACTTTTGCAATCCAATTTGCATTACTATAAGCTAACTCCAAATTAATAACTAAAATATGAAAGGCCACAATTTATATATTTCCTTGTAGATAACATAGAATCCTTTTAACCAGATAAAAATGAGCATCGATTGGAGTAGACATGAACTATAACAAGCATAGTTCACAGCATATAGGCTATATCATGTCTAGTGAAAGTTTACCGCAAAGCTCCTACCAAACTCCTATACAAAGTGCAGGACAAAACTTACAACGTCATTCCAGCCTTTTGAAGCACATCTTTGCATACTTAGATTGAGAAATAAAAGGATCCCATTACCCTCGTAGGTGACTTGTAATCCCTACAAATTATATAAATTAATTAACCATTAAAATAAATATTATACATATATTCTTTTAAGGGTTTTTATCACAAATGGTCCCTAAAATTTATCCTCACCATTAATATGATCCCTGAAATTAAAAATCAATCAATGTAGTCCTTGAAAATATGTATCACAAATCAAAGTGGTCATTTCGTCACAATTCTATTAAAATTTCTGTTAAGTGCTGATATGACACATAAATGGGTCTCACAAGATTTATGGGTTTTTATCACAAATGGTCCTTAAAATTGTCCCACACCATCAAGATGGTCCCTAAAATTGACCGACACCATCAAAATGGTTCCTGAAATTGACCCACACCATCAAGATGATTCCTGAAATTAACTCACATCTGGTCCCTGAAATTGAAAATCAATCAATGTAGTCCTTGAAAATAAGTGTCGCAAATCAATATGATCCTTCCACCACAATTCTATAAAAAAATTTTGTTATGTGCTAATGTGGGATTAATAATAAATTAAAAAAGTTGTCTAAATACCCTTTTGCACAATTTTTTTTTCTTCTTATAGTAGGGCGTACTCCGAAGAGAGCTCCCTTCCATAAATTCTCAAATGTACAAGGTTTAACCAAGGCCAAAGAGGGGGTGTGGAAATAGTTTTCAACCAACAATGGATGCACTTCGGTTATAACATCATTATCTTAAGGCAGAGCTCGTTGTTCTTTGCATTACTAGACCACTAGGGAAGCGTTCAACAAGCTCTCTAAGATTAAGGTTGAAAGGATGTTGATCGCCTAAATGTTAACGGTGATGTCCCGGAAGTCATTGCCAATGGGCCAAGTTGTCACCAAAGGTGATCTCGATCCAGGTTCAATTCGATGAAGGGTGTTGAAGTGTGTGAAGATAAGTGTAACGAGATTTTTTCAGAGAATAGAGAGTGAATGAGGTATAGAAATGTGGATTGAGATCGGAGGTGATTGCAGGACTGAGTTTTTGGGTTGACAATTTTTTTTATCAACTATTAAATTATTAAGCCTATTTGTAATTTTTTTTTATTTAATTAGACTTGTGTGACCCATTTATGTGTCACATCAACACTAACAGAATTTTTGACATAATTGTGACGGAAGGACTACATTGATTTGAGACACTTACTTGAGCGACTACATTGATCAATTTTCAATTTCAGGGACCATTTTGATGTCATGGGTCAATTTTTTTAACAAAATTGTGACATAATGACCAAATTTTTTGTGAAATTATATTTTTTTTGTTGTTTTTTTAAGTATAGTTGTTGACGAATTATTATTAAGTACAATATATTACGTATATATTTGCTGTGGCTACGTTTGAATTGACAAAAATCATTAATTGGTACATTTATTTGCAATTTTGGTATATTTGATTTGATACATATTGTTAATATTGGTACATTATTTTTATTTTGGTACGTTTTATTTTGTACACATTGTGTATTGGTACGTTTATACCATTCTCAATCCTATTTTCTCTTAACAGACTAAAAGAAAAACTCATTTCGGTACATTTGATTTTGGGGGATTTAAAAATATTTTAAACTATTTTGAAAAGAAAATATCTTCAATCGTAGATAATTATTGCTAAATTGTAGCATTATTGTGAAATAAATTGAATCTAACCAAAGTTTTTTTTTACAATTATCTCTAACGGAGGAGAGTGTAATCAAAATGCTAGATTATAGGAAATTTGTTACAATATAATGTGCATATAGCACCAAAATTATGATAAAAAAAGTTTAATCAAATCACTAAAAGGCATAGATGTTTGATCTAAAAAATTCAAAATTGAAGCGTTTATATCAAAAGATCCCTAATTTTAAATTATTAAAATGGGGATATGAGACGAGGACGGACATGAGGATGGCATTCGCATTCCCCCACCAACAGTAGGGCAAGCTCAGCCGGGAATAACGAGAATCGGGAATAAATTGTCATCAAAGATCGGGCTTCAACATATAGTAATTGCATACAAGATTTAGAAGGAGTGAAG